GAGAGAATGAGGAAGGCATGGAAGTAAGAGAGAGTGGTCGAGAGAGGGAGTGTGGGATAGAGGGAGAGAAAGAGTGAGAGGCGTGAGGTAGAAGATAGAGAACCATAGAAAAGAGAGTAAAAGAGAAAATAAGATAGAGGGAGTAGATAGTGAGAAAGAGAGAAAGAGGGAGGAAGAAAGTAAGAGAAATATGGAGGGGGAAATAAGATAGTAAGAGGGAGTAAGATAACTATGGAGGGGGAAATAAGATAGTAAGAGGGAGTAAGATAACTATGGAGGGGGAAATAAGATAGTAAGAGGGAGTAAGATAACTATGGAGGGGGAAATAAGATAGTAAGAGGTAGAGTGGGAGCTAGAGAGAGAGGGGCAAAGAGCGAGCTAGAGAGATAGAGAGTAAGCAATAAAGAGGAGAGAGGGAGAGAATCATAGAGAGAAGTTGGGAGAAGGTAGAAAGTGTGTGTGAGAGATTATTAAGATAGAGATAGCTGGAGAGAGAGGAGGGAGAGGGTGAGATAGAGAGCAAGAGAAAAATAGAGGGAATAAAGTGAGGGAAGAGGAAGCAAGAGGGAGAATGATAGAGTGAGAAGGTGAGAGAGTGGAGGAAGAGAGTAAGTGTGAGTAAAAAAGCAAGAGGCATTAATTGGATTGACTATAATTTTCTATATATATATCTAATGTAAAATAAACATTAGTTCTAGTATGTGTAAATTTTCTATGAAATTTCTTATAAGCTTTCCAGTTCAATTTAATAATATAAATTATGCATACTTTAATATTAATAATTATAATGAATCTATTAGAGAATTTTGAAATGTTGTATATGTTTGGTGGCAATCCAAACAGCTTGATTAGTAAAAATCAAGATAGACGTTGGTAGAAATCAGATCAATAAACACCTTGAGCATAGGCTTTATTAATCATTATCACCCTCATACCAACTATTTGAGATCGGTTTCATTAGTTCGAATTCTCTATGCATTCTCAGGCATAGGTTATACAATAGAAACATCTGCTAAAAAAAAGAGCATAAACATAGATTAGAATTAGAAAAGGAGTTAAATTTCTAACCTAATAGAGCTAAAATGGTAATGGATTATGTGAAATTTGCTATGAAATGAGACTAAGTCATATTTTCAAGGAGTGCAGGAACTAAAGATCATTGTCTATTGTGCATTTATGCGAAATAAATGTGGTGGGCCTATGAAATTGCTCGTGTTCATAATCTATAGCCCTACTGATCCAACATACCTAATCATAACAATCAAAATTTTGTTGGTTTACCAAAACAAAATAGAAAGTGTATAACAGCAGGTGCATTGGTCAGAAAGTACAGCAGTTGATTGATTAGTCATTTCCATGTGGCAACAAATGAGAAGGCAGAGAATGTGCATAAAACAATCCTAAATGAATGAAGCTTGACCAAATAGCACCTATTGTAGATAATTAACTTAGATAATTTAATAAAACATTAAAGAAAGTATAAACGGCATGAAAAATGCATCAATGGGATAAATAGAATTAATTTAAATAAAAATAGAAAACAGAAAAGGTTTTTATGATTAAACACTTGCATAGGCTAAAATAAGTACACTCACTAGAACTTGATGGTAGAAGAAAAATTTAACAATAATACTAATAATAATTGTGCCTAGTGAGACGAGACAAACAAAACTCACCGCATCTACATTTTATAAGTTTTTTTTATGAAGATAGTTTTTCTAATAAGATGATAATTAGTCAACCTAATATATGTTACTCATGAGTGGTGAAAAGGTGCCTCAAAAATCCCAGATTCTTGTCCATGCATTACGATGATAAGCAATACTACTTTGTGTGATGCAATGTGTACTTAATTTCCGCCTAGATAAGTAATACAGGTCCATTGTAAAAGCCATGCTCACTTTTGTATGTCCAAACACAGCCAATTAGAAAAAAAATATTAAACGTTAAGAAGTAAAAAATAAAAAAACTTGAAACACAAAATAAGTAGTTTGTTTAGGATATCATGTAGCATTCTACAAGGCCAAATAGAAAATGAAGATCCATGAACCAGTTCAAAATAGTTTGGACTTAGGATAAGTCTAATGGTGATATATGAAACCCAAAAATTTAGAAAACCAGCTAAAACATAAACAAAAGTGCTATACGTCACAAAATATCTTTATCGAAAATCTTCCAGAAGAAATGTGCTTGATATGAAGAAAAAAGTGGATAACCCCAAGTTTGAGCTCTGATTGGCTTTGGAAGCTTATTGAGCGAAGTACTTCGGTAGTTTCAAAAGTATGCTAAACAAATACATGCGATAAATGTTTCAAATATAATGATCCCAAATTGAAAGCCACTCATCTTCATAAAGGTAGTTTGGTAATAAAAATAAGAGAGAACAATTAAACAGCACATGATCTAACCTGCAATGAAGCTTCAATAACATTTTCAAGATCAAGAAAGCCATTTATCTCTTGCAAATTACTCATTAACTCTCTGACAGTCGCAGGAAGCCCAGCCACTGTACTACTTTCAGTTGTATTGTTGTTCTCTTCCTGAACCTGTGAAGATTCAGCAGTGGCAGTCCAATCTTGTGCTACAGCAAGAGTTGTAAGTAGATTTTGGGCCACAAGCCATGCTGGTGGTGCTGGTTCAGGCTCGACAGTCAAGTGACCTTCAAAAAGGTACCTAGAATCTGAAGGAAATAATAGCACACGAATATGAATAAATAAATTCTGCCCAATCCAACAATGAAAATTTAATTTTGTACTTAAAAATAAGGATTCACCGTAATTACACTATTTATTTACTGATTAGCGTTCATCAATTTATTGTCAATAATGTTTAGCATTTATAGTAGTCGAGTTCTTTTATAACATGCATAATTCACATATGAGGTGAAATATCAGAATTCTTTGCACCAAAAGTGCTTTTTAAGCAAAATGAGGTGTGAAATGTCAGAATTCTATTTTACAACTTTCGCCAATGTAGCATCTTTTATTTACTTTCTCCCTCCTTATGCCAGGGTTAGGAGTAGTTGGTGATAGAGATAGCCCCGCAAGTCCCACTCCTAGTTATAAACAGTCATAAGAAGCTTCATTAGCTCACCAAAACCTCATTACTAAGCCATCCTTCCAAACATTTTGCCATTTACATAATTTCACTAAGCTGATACTCCTTTTACAAGGATTACAACCTTTAATCTTCGCTTTGAAAGCCAAAGGCAATACTGCTAAACCAAGTGGCAAGTGGCAAGTGGCAAGCGGCAGCTTTCTACGCACTTTGTTCCCATCATTGAAAAGACAGTTTTCTATGGTTCCCTTTTTTAAAAGAACATTATTACAGGAAGAATTTGACTCTTGCGTTCAAATTTATTTTGGTTAGTTTCTGCTAAGTATTTTGACTAAATATTATTGTGTTTGGGCAAAATATTGCATCGAATCCAAAAAACATTGCATGTGATCTAAATTGTCAAACTCAGATAATCCATAATTTGAAATTAGGATCACATTGAGATTGATCGGATGGATAAGATCACTTTCTTAATTCATACAAAACAATATGCGGAGAATGGAGCTGTGCCTAGAGAATAACAGTCACCTCGGCTCATGTTGATCTGTACAACTTCAGGAATTCCTCAAGGAGCTCTACTCGCAAAATCTATGTTTATTCCTGCACGTGGAGGTATGCTTTCATGAATTATTTTTCATGCCAAGTAAAATAACTTGGAATTTATAAATATTGCTAGGGTTGTATTTATTATTCCTTTGCCTAGATGGCTCCAAAAAGAGATCTTGACTTCAGCTTTTGAAATTAAACTAATGCACTTTGGTTATCTTTGGTTATAGTATCATGAGAAATTGTGAGAGGAAGACAAAGCCTCTCGGCTAGGATTTGTTGATGTAAATGCTAGTAGAAAAATGTCTTTGTTTAAATTCTTTCTCGACAACAGATGTAGGATTTCAATATTATCGAGCAACAGCAACAAGGGTTCTGGCGTCCTGATCTTGTTGAGATGTAATCATGTACGTAGAAGTTTCTTTGAGCTCCTTATTTGATGAGTGAGTTCTAGGGTGAGTGAGTTCTAGGGTGAGTGAGTTCTAGGGTGAGTGAGTTCTAGGGTGAGTGAGTTCTAGGGTGAGTGAGTTCTAGGGTGAGTGAGTTTTAGTTGGGATTTGGTAAAGCGTTGATGAGTGTCAATTATTGTAATTGCATTTGTGCTTTTGTGTTGAGTAGATCAGACCTCCTCCTCTCTCTCGTGGACATAGGCTTCATTCCATCCATACACAAAAATTTTAAGTGTTCCATTTATATTTCATAATCTCATAGCGATTGTTTTGTGGTTCATTGTATTTGCTCCAAATTAAGGCCTCCGCATAAAATTTACACTTCAGGATTGGAACTGTAACTAGGGAACCACACTCATCACAAGCTCATGAAGATGATTGCGCGAATTTCACATATTATGCTAATAAATCCTCAAGATCCACACCTAAAACCATTAAAGATTTAAATGTTTTTATAATTCGTTTTCTGTAATAGGTAATCTCTTGAAATTTGTGAGGGTTGTAAGCATTATCCCTTCCCTAGGATCACTATAAAAAAAATCTCACACTAGGGTTTGAACACTAAGCCTAACAACATTCATATATATCCTATCCGCTAGAGTTTCACAAACAATTTAATGACCAAAGCATGCCTTCTAAGCTACGTACTTGCAATGAGCATGTCAGAAAATTGTTTCTTAATTTGAATTCTCTCTTAGTTGCAAATGTAGGATTTTATAATTGACCAAGAAACTTAGCAAAGGGTTATGCCCAGCATCATCTTGGATTTTGATTTCTTAATGAGAGGTAATCTTGAATGTGAGTTTCGTTAGGTTGTTTCTTTGATGTATGAGTATACTTAGGATTTGAGGAGAGTTGATTGGTTTCCTTTATTATACACCATAGTTGCTGCTTCTGTGTTTATGAAATTGAATCCACTTTCCTCCCTTGTAATAGTAATAAGCCTTGTTCAAGCCAAACAAGTAAACCATAGGCTTTCTACACTGTGCTTAATCTTGATTTCTTTTTTTGTTTCTTTTTTTTCTTTTTTTTCTAATCATATTTGTTCATGATTACCATTTTAGCATAAAAAGTTTATCACGTATCCTAGCAATTTAGTACAATCAATTAATAAAACTTAAAAAAAAAAGTAGAATTGGACATGAGCAAAAGAGCATGTAATCGATCACCCCCCTTGAACTCTAAGATCCATTTTCTTAAATCTAATCACATCTGCCAATGCATCCCTTTTTCACTTAAAAACATTAATCTTGCTGCAACCAAGAATCTAGGAAGCATATGGAGTGAGATACTTGACAATTAATTGTCAAATTTTCTCCCATCAAATAACTTTCTCTGTGTTACACCTGGACATAGCCTGATGTCCATGCTCCATGATATGGTAATCGGCAATCCATAGCTCCTCCTGCCAAGAGAGGGAGGAAATTCACCATTGTAAAACCAAGCATCCAACTCTTCTTCACAGCTTTATTTGACTGTCTACCTTAGTGATTTAGGAAGTGTATTGAAACTGAAGAGATTGAATTCCTCCCATAATACATGAAAGAAAGATATGAAGTAAGTAATTAGAAATAGAAACGTATTCAAAATGAGAGTCGCATATAGGGGTCGGTTCAATCGATCAAGTAACATAAAAGATATAGTTTCATTCTTTTAAAACAAACACCTAATTTCATATAGGATTAAACGGTAGCATATCTAACCTACACTGGTTGAAAAACGGATCAGATTGAATCAGTTCAAATGGTGGAAGACTTCAGAAAAAAGTTTTCTTGAACCATCAGTTTTTTTTTTTTTAGTTGTCAGATGAATCTAAAAGGAAAAAAAAATTTTGAACCACGAATTCCAGAGTTTAAGTAGGATGGGACTGCCTCGTTAATGAACTTTATAATGAACCAAGTAAATTTATGGGGCTCTAACTCATTCAATTGGCTGCAATACAATCCACTGAGGTCCTCATATATTATAATAGATAAAATGAAGGTTCCCATGAAAATGTTGGAATGAAAAAGATTAGGCATCCCTCAATAGGTGGTAGTAGTTTGTAGGTCTTTAAAAGGTTTCCAAGTAGCAACGATGGAGAAGAATCAACTATAGGTCAATTTACCATACTAAGCTGGGTCCACCTCAAAATCTGCCAGGGAGGAAATAGCAAAAAAAAAAAAAAACATCACAATGCATCGTGCCCTACAACCATCAAACAAGAGGACCAATAAGTCAATTAGATCAAACACCTATCAACCTAAATCATACCTGGTAGTGCATCAATCCATTCAAGCCTAATCAATCAAACATCGATCAAACTAAAGTTTTATTCTTAAATCCTGGTCAACTAAATGACCATCAAAATTTCTGAAAACACGCGATACACAAGCTACACAGCAATCTGGAGACATAAAGTTAGCAAATAGCCACTAATATAGGTTAGTGGGTTTGTCATTTGACCAATTAATAAATTTCAACAAAGTGACCATTAAGGTGCTAAACCCAAGTAAGTTCACGAGCAACCCGTGAACAAATTTATAGGTTGTCATTAACATGCGGATAGACCAATTTTTTTTTATATTTTGATCCAATCCTAGCTCAACCAAGAGCACATTTGACCCGTTAAAAGAGCTCCAGCTGATCAAATCAATTATTGAATGTGAGAAGGGACATTAGTCCTATATATCCAATGCATGGGAGCCTGTCAACTCCTTTAAATATGCTATACAATCTCCACCTTCATCCATAATTCTGTCCTTCGGACCAAAGAAACATTGCCAAAACATTGTAGTGCTGAAAAATTACAAGGAAATCCTTGCTAGAATAACATCACAAGGAGTCTTTAGGCTCTAAGCTTTACCCTCATCTCATCCTCTCCACTTCCTCTCGCATTTATTTTAATGTTCATTGGAAGTGCATGAACAGTGAATATAAGTACAAAGGAGCCTAAAACCAATCATGGCTACCAAACCATAGTTATTTATGCGGAAGTTAGTACCAAAACCAAGCTATGTCGTGTTCAATGGCCCAATAGAGTTGAAACTTGATTTTGTTCAAAGCACAGTTACCAATCTGTAGCGAATGGAGCTAAATCTCTATGACATGAATAAGACCAACTCTTATTAGAGAAAAGGTCTTTCATTCCCCCCAAAATGCAGCTATAAAATGAAATTATTAATGTAGTGAGTACGAATATCTAAAAAGTATCTCTATGATACGCACCAACAACCATGTCATTTTCGATGTATCATGCATTGATTAGTGTGACTTTTTTTCACCACCTAAATTAGTGTTATGGGCAAAAATATACCAAAATTTTTTAAGAATGTAAAGCTGTATAAGTTAAAATGCACTTGAAATCTATAAAAATACTTTATGGCCACCAACTATATAAAAAGAGGCTGAAAATGGACTAAAACTCCTTCATGACTCTGAAATTGACAATGCAATTAGAACATTTTTTTAGTGCGCTTTTGACACACGGATTCTCTATATCCTATTGTTTTCTCTAGATCTATATAGGAAATATTTTTCACACTTACGTACATGATATTTATGCCATGCAATCCCTCAGTTGATACCTCTTGAGGTTTGTAATAACTTTATCGATGATTTAGCATTAACTCAACCTTGAGTCTAGCTT